GGTCCCGTTGAAATTAAGACACGGAAACCACTGAAATTTGGGCTCAAAATTGATCAATTTCACTAGTATTAAAACCATTTTCCAACAGAATTTTCAGTGCGATAAAAAATGCAATATTCTTTTTTTTTTTGGCAGATTTTTAGGAAGGAATATAGTGAAATTTCGTCATAATAATATTGGAGAATACCTTTTTTTTTACTTTGGATTTGAAAGCTTGTATTTGCCTAATTTTATAAACGGTAAAATCATTTTTTTTTCTTTTACATATTTTGTGGTACTCATAACTAGCACCCAGTTATGAATCATCCATTTCTATTAAGGATCTTGTTACATGTACATAAATGTTTATATAAAAGATTATATAATGTCATATGGTATTTTACCATTTGTCAGTTTAAAATACGATCAATTTTTTCATCTAATCTTTTCCCTTCACATCACTTTATGTAATCCATTATGTACCATTTTCATATACGGGTAGCATAATTCTTTTATTAATTCATAAATTAAACTAATTATATACACTTTCACAAACATTTAGATGGGATGAAATTTGTGAAAGTCATTTTATTTTTGAATTGGGTTTAGGGGCTCTAACTCTTGGGGGGCTTTCTTTAAGGATTTAGGCATCGTGCTCAAGTTGTTTTTTTACGTACTATCTGTTTTATGAGAATATTTTTCTTCTTACCCTCTTATGAATTTCTATCTTGCTTCAAGAGATTTTGAGTTGGAATACTGAAAAATGTGATAGAAAGCCTTGAGGGAACAAAATGACAGATGTTTTCCCAAAACAAACAATACGTATGACAAACGATTTGAGCACGAGGCCAGTGTCATTACACTTTCACTCTTGTTTGTATTTAACCTCAAGGGACTGCTTGGAAGTTTTTTTTATTGATTTTGATGGATTTTGGATGTCACCGTTTGAAATGACTTGAAAAAATTAGTGATAGCTAGTTCTTTTTTTTTTTGGCACCGATTTTAGATTGTTTAGAAATCACAAAAACTGGTGTAGTTTAATTTTGTTCAGTTCTCTCAACCTATTAAATTGATGAGTTTTGATCGTTTTTCATATTTTTTTTCTAATTTTGCCCTCTATAAAATAATTATTTCTAACCAATACGTTTTGTTCAAAACTAATTCGAAAAATAAAAATATTAACTGAAAACTTAAGCGGTTTTCCTATTGTCTTCTTCGATCTTCAAGCGGACAATCAATTTTTCCAAGTTCATTTCTTGTGTCTATGCTTGAGATATTTTTTGAAATCACATAGGAGGGAGTTTCTTGATAATGGCAGCGACTTGGAAGGATTCGCTCAATTTCATCTTCTCAACATGGATGTCATGTAATAGAACTTGAAGTTTTTTGCACTTGATTGATTACCGTTTTGGAATCCACCATTTCGCAATCTAAAATTCTGCCAACTATGAATTTCTTAGTTCCGACATCCTCGATCTTGTATTTATTCTCCAATGAATCCCACAGTTCCTTGGCCGAGTTCTTCGAACTATATACTCCATATAGTGTGTTGTCCAATCCGTTCAGGATATAATTTTTGCATAGAAACTCCAAATGCTTCCATGCATCCAAAGCAATAATCGATTTACAATGTTTGTCTCATTTTGTACCATGGATGCAGTCTCCTTTAGAAACTTTGTCAAGTTTAGAGTGATAAGATAGAATAAAATCTTTTGTTGCCATCTCTTGAAATCCACGCCTCCAAACTTTTCAGATTTTTCCCCATTTGGGATTGCAGTATTTAAAGTGATATAGCCAAAGACGGAACCACATTGTTTGAACCATTCGGACTCGAAGTAACCTCAATGGTAGTCTTTTTTGTTACACAAATAGAAGTTTAATTCAACAATAAATAAGGGAATAGCACGTTTTGCCTATTCCAAAGATGAAAGTTACGGACCTTGTTCCACAAAACAACAACAGAGAGCAATTTCGTTTTAAGATTGTTGGAGCTGGCTTTATGTACGTGCGGTGAAAGGGTTGTTAAATTATAGAACCGATAAGAACAAAGTTTAATTTGCAGGAGCGTGATTAAACACTATAATTATGAGGTTGAAATGTAGTATGTAAACTACAAACAAAAAAAGCAAAAAATAAATCCAGGAAGGGAAGAAGAAGAAAAGAATAATCCAATGCAAGTGAATTACACTATTTCCTTAAGACAAAATTGTCCCGTAACGACGCTTATGGTTCACAACACTTATCTCACGGTGCTTTGCGAATATTTGGTCACACACACACACACAAAAACCACACTTTATGCTTACATTTAGGTTCACTTAACCTCGTAAAAACTTGAAACTTCGCATTGCCACATAATTACATTTTATACTTTTTAGAACGTTAAAAACTGAAGATATCATATAAAAATATTCAGTTATATTTTAAATTATTTTTATGCATCAGATTTGCTACAATTTGGTTTCTCAATTTGTATTTTTGGAGCCTTAATCTCGGTTAGAAAAAGAACTAATTCAAATCATGATCGTTAAAATTGACGTTTATTTATAGATATAGTTATCTTAAAATTCGCAATGCACCTAAATAACTTCTAATTATCATATAATTAAAAGTGTCAAAGTCTTTTAAAAATTTGTCATTTTGACTTACTGCTTAAATATGGACCAAGTTAATTTTCTTGAACTGGAGTTTATTAAGATCTCGTGTATGGATAATGAATAACTACACTATCAATCATGTTAAGTTGGATTTATCGAAACAAAAATAATATAAAATTTAAATTATATTATTTAGTTTTGGGTCAACATTAAAGAAATTTAAAAAACAATTGTAAAACTAGATATCAAATCCGTTGTAGTCTAGTTGGTTAGGATACTCGGCTCTCACCCGAGAGACCCGGGTTCAAGTCCCGGCAACGGAAACCCTTTTTTTCCCACGGTTAATATGTGAGCAGTTGGTTCGCAACTACGCAGGTTCGAGTCCCCGCAACGGTATTTTTTCAAATTTCTTTTGCCACTCCTAAGAATGAGTCGAATGACCGACCGGCCCAACTAATAAAATCCTTTGGCGGGAATAATTAAACCATTGCCTCCTGCTTCTTCAATCCCCCTGTCTAGGGTTTTGAGATTCGGGGAAAAAAAGAGAAGAATTTCACTAGAAAGAAATAATTCGCACTGAGAATATGGATAATCCGAAGAGAGTAGCAGGCGGAGCTGCCAACAGAGGATTGGAAGAGAACACCATGGCCATCCTTGATACAGCCGGCTTCAATAGTTCCAAAATCTCTCACCATCTCAATGACGACCGTATATACACATCTCTTCCCCCTTTTTTCTGTCTCTGTGTAATCGTTTTTATTTTTTGTCCATGTAGTTTTAATTCTAGGCGTATATTTAAATTCTTTGTATTAGGGCTTGCTTTTCTGGAAGCTGTTCGTTGTGCTTCTCTTCTTTCCTGTAATGGAACTGCACCTACCAGGTATTCAATCCTCCGGCTCATGTTATTCAGCACGGGTCTGGGAATTGTATAGAAGTTTTGAACATAAAAGGTTCATTTGTTGCCACTTGAGTTTCCTTTTCAATGTGTGTTTAAGGGTTTACAGCCTAAATAAAGTTGCTTGTGTGTAGTAGAATATCTTACATTGCAAAGTTGGTTGAACAGCATAATGTTTGAAGCAGTTTTCCAAATTCTTAAGGATGAGGATTCACTGGCTTTAATAATGGAAAGCTATCAACTTCTTGTGGATTTGACTAAGGTACTTGATTCTTTGGCTTTATAATTATCTTATTTCATATGGAGGGCCAAATATAATTAATATATGCTTTTGATTCTGACTAAATGTAATTGGATGTGTAGCGCTTTCCTCGAGTGTACTTATCCAAAACGGAAAAATCAGAATCTTCATCTTCAAATGTTAAGTCGGAATTAGTTGTGGTTCAAGAGGTAACTCGTTTCCTTCCTATTTGAGTACTCCATGATTTTTGGTATACCTTTCAACTTCAGTGCTGCTATATAAGAACAATGTTTGATTTCAACTGGCAAATGCAGGCTTGGTGTCCGTTTTCTTTTGGGTTGGACAATTACAATGAGAAGGCAGTAGCCAATAAACAGTTGGGAGGATCAGTTGACTCCTTGGTGTGTAAATTATAAGTCCCCTTTTTCTTACCCTTTCCTTTGTGCAACATATTTCTAGCAGAGAATGTAATCTGCTGGTTTTAATGTTTCATATCATTATGTTCTACTAAAATGACTGATATGAAGGTCATTTTAGTGGCAATATTCTTTCATTTTCTGCATTTACTGAAATTTGATGTCAATTTCAGAGTTTCCACGCTCTTCTACAAGAAGTCGTGAAGGCGTCGAAGGAGAGGAAATCTGAAGTTGTAGAAATAAAGGTTATCTACCGTCTTACCACCATGTTAATGGTTTTTTCCTTAACTAATGGAACATATGTACCCACCATTACCATTACTTGCATATTGAAGCTAATATGTACGTACATGCCCTCTTTTTTATTTTTATCCTTTTCCTTGTTCAGCAAATTATCATATGAATTCTACTATAATCCCCTCTCTTGTCCAGCCAAACAGCTATTTTTTTTTAAATTCTAAATGCTAATAATCTGGAAGAGAAATGTGGTGGTCTTGCATCTCATTATTATCCCGTGATCACTTTTTCAGACCACATTTTATGATCTCTGAGATGTTTTCTTTGCAGTTTCTGAGGAACATGTTGCTGCTGCAATATTTGATTATTATTTTTGAGGGCGACTTTTTACCTCGTAATTCTGCATATCAAGGTAAAGTGTTTCTGTGTGATTGATGATGCTTTCTTGAGATTGGCCTTTGGAATCTGTGGTTGAGTTGTTGATATCATGCATTGCAGAAAATATGAACTGGACTCTTTTGAGGGAATCACTGCTTAATATGCTTTTGGTATGCCTTTCCTTTTTTCTACGATTTAATTTCATCATTTAATTCCATTCCTTGTTATAATTACTCTCCTGATTAATCGTGCCTTTGACTTTTTTCTACCACTCGTTTGCAGGGTTCAAGAAAAATAATCTACAAAGGCTTCATACAGGACTGCTTGTGTATCATGTGTGACCTCTCTTTTGATCAGACTGAATTGTCTTCTGAAGTGAGCCACGACAGTAGACATTCAGGGGATCTATCAGAAGAAACTGATACTGCTTTGGTATTAGCATTACCCGAACTTGAAAAATCTACATGCACTGTTCTGAAAAAACTTGTGTTAATGGTGAGTCCTTGAGCCATCTCCTACCAAGGATATCTGCAATCAGATTTTTATTGACCATGCCTTGTTGTATCATTTAGATCATGGAGTTAGATTTATCACGGAGCATGGCAGACCTGCAGGGTCTTACCACCAGGGCTGATGGTGTAAGGTACTTTTTAATTTCTCTCTCTTTAACATAATTTTCTGCTTAAAACTATAGTTAAGGAATATATATTTAACTGGATGTGGTGCAGGACCCCGGTGGTGGACATTATTTTAGAGGAACTCATTTACAACAGCGATATCCTTTTGTCCTTTTTACAGGTGCTTTCTCTGTCTCTCCCTCTTTATGCATATATGTAGGTATCAAGCTCACGAATATGGTTTTCACCTTAAGTGCAGTGAACTTGAAATGAAAACCCAGTTCATGTTAGATAGTTTGGCTTGTGTACCATATATATTTGAGAGGAAAATACTGCACTTGGTGTACACTGATGTTTCGCTTGTATTTTATTCAACATGTAGAATTGACAATTGGTTAATAACTGTATGATATTAATCCTATTTGTTACCTTTTCAATTCCAAATCAATAGTCCTATTTCATGGAAACAAACACATGATAAGAGCTGTTCCTGCATCTTGATCCTCTTGGAAGCCTTTATATTCGGTCTTTCTTAAGCTCTCTCTTCGATTCTCTCTCAATGCATGTGTAAATTTCTTCAAGTATCTTGTGCAGTGCTTGTTGCTTTCTTTTTAGTAACAACCTTACATGTCAACTTGGCACGCGAATCTAATTGGGATTTTGTTTTGAAAATTTTATAGGTATTTGATGAACCAAAATGGAAGCTAAAAGTTATAGAAGAATATTTCCAGAAATACATTCCTAAGGTATGTTGCCTTGTTAAGCTTTGCAATTTAACTCTTTCCAAAGCAGTCTATAACGGTGTTTTGACTAATTTTCCCTCAGGCATCTTATAGACTTTATGCTTCCTAAATCGTATTTTTAATTATTTGATAATTCATCTCTTAACACCTATCCATGTTTGTTGAATATCTTTTCATAGGACTGTATTGGAAGTTTTACATTTTAAGCTTTGGTACGCGTGAATGTTGATAGTTCCCCTTCTTGAAAAGGTTGCTCGTTATATTACTAGAATGCTTTCAGCAGCACTCCTTATCTTTTGTGATTGAATATATGGTTTGACATTGTATTATCAGTATATGCAGCTAAACTTTGATCAAGCAATGTCACCAACAATTACACTAGAAAGTCTCTATAAACTTGGGGTTAGCTGCATGAAACTTTTTTTTTTTTCACTTCTTTTCTCCCAACCCTATATTTCTTAAGGTCCAAAGAGACAACTATAAAATAAACATCAGAACTTGTCCTGTGATGTTATATGCTATACATGTAGTCAATGTGTGTGATTAAACAGTCAGGTTGATTTTGTCCATGCCATACTTTTATTCAAATGTTCATCATTTTCCATCATTAAAATTTTAAGTACAGACTAGAGCAGTCATCATGCTCATTAATGCTGGTAGTCTAAGTTGCCACTTTGACCGGATTTTATAACTTGCTTGTGACTCCATTACCTCAGAAAAAATGAATGCCAATAATCTTGAACATAGATTTCCTCCATGTTTTTATATTATGTTAAAGTACTATTTACAATGAAGTACATACTGCGATTCTTTATTTAACAAAGGCGGAATTGAAATAATCTGTAAGTTCGTCTTTAAGTTCACTAGAGCATGTTTGGAAAATGGGATTTTTTTTTAAAGATGGTCAAACATAAATTTATACACACATTGTGTAGAACCCACAACTTACTACCTATTTATTATCCTCACATTCCGTAGAACCACAACTTACAAAAACTTACAAGCTTTGCCAAATTCTACCTTGGTAGGAGCATGGGTCATGATAAGAAAACCAATTCCACGTCCTGGAATCAAGGAGGGCTGAATTATTCTTCCCGAGTAAGCACACTCACAATGTACGTAATTCCTGGCCTTACAAAGAGAAGTGACTAGTCTATTTTAATGAAGGGCTTTAACCCAACCTTTTCGTTATAGAAAGAACCATTTTTCAACTGTGGCTTCTAATTTCCCCGAGTATTGTGTGTTGGTTTCTGGCCATATGAAGGACTTTGGGAGTTTACTTTGTAAGGATGATAAAGGAGATAGAACAACCTTGCTAATTAAACTGAGTTCATGTCAATTATTCGAGTTAACCACACCACAAGACTCCTTTTGGCCTTGCTTTCCTGTACCTTCAGTGATTGTAGCTTTTTTTTTAATCTAATAATCTTGTATGTCTGGTAAAGCTTTTGTAGATTATAAGTTGTGGGTCATACTATATGTGTGGATAAAAGTTTTGGATCCTATAGAATGTATGCATAAAATGATGATTAACCAGTTTATAATCTTAAAAAAGCTTTGCCAATTCTACTCATAGTCCATACCACTGTATAATATTGTTCTCAATCTCTTCCATAGTTGGATAGGAAATGAAAATCTTTGAGATCAGCTTTTGAGTAGGAAGTCTGTTTATGCCTGAATATTTGACTGTTTACTTCGGCAAAAATTGAGATAAAAAGTTTGGTTTTTTATACCAAAGATTGAAAATGAATTTTACATTTCTTATGTTTTTTTTTCTTTCTTTCTTTTATTACGAGGGATATGCATTAGAAGAAATTTACTTTATGGAATTGGTCAACTCTATGCATGTTCTTTATATAAGCAATCTTGGGAAAAACTACATACAGATTTCCATTTTGCTTTTACGTTTAGTGTAATTCTCTGTTTTCCTTTTAAAGTTTTTTGGGGACAAAAATGCATATTAACAACCTGCATTGGTACCCTGAAATTAATTTCAGTTACTCTTTCATGATTCGTTGTAGTCGTCCGTTCGAACTAGGAGATCAAACGGGCAAGTCAAGGATCTAACTTTTGATGGAGTTTTGAAGTGTTTTTCAAACAGCAACAGCACAAAAAGTATCATTAAAAAACTAAGCATAGAGGTTGCTCAATTGCTTTTGGCCCATGCCTTCCAGGTGATTACTTCTGTCTAGTGCATAGTTCTTTCTTCTCATCAACTAATTTTATATTCTACAATGAAGGTCTTAATTTATAAGTTTTTGCAAGAATTAATAAGTTGCACATGGTAGGAGAGTTCTGGTCATACAAATTGTCTTGGCCTCTTCAAGTAATGATAGTTTGTTAAGATTTTGTGAAATGAAATAATAAGTATTTTTTGAAGTGATTTACTTATTAAGTTCTATTACACTGAACTCTGAAGTTTCTTTTCTGCAAACCCCACTCCCTCCAGAAAAAGGAAATAGAAGGGAGGGAGTCGACAAAATAAATCATAAACCAAAGGAAAAAACATCTTTTAGGTTTATTGTACACAATAATGTTAACAGATAATATGATAAAGGATTGCTTATCTCTTCCAGGCATATTTGTCACTATCATTACAGCATCTGCCTGAAGGCGGCTCTGAGTTGAAGGAAGATGTCAAAGGCAGCTCTCTTGCGGAAGTGTGCAAGAATGTAATATCGGCTTTTACTAGTCTCAGAAGAGAAGACAAGTAAGAATTACTTGATTGCATACTTTACATCTATTTTATGTTTCAGTTTGAGAATGCCTTCTTGGTTTCATAAAGATAAATTTCAGAGGAAGATTATATCCTTCATGTTCTATATCTTATAGCGACCACTGGTAGATTGAAACTTAGCCTGTGTTTGAGCCCCATTTTCGTTGAAAATGAGTTTTGTAATGGTGATTTTTTGGAGAATGTGTGGTAAAATGTAGGAAAAAGTTTTGGGTTTGCGTAAAAAATATTTTATTGTGCAAATGTGTGATTGAAAATGAGTTTGAGAAAAAATGAGTATCAAACATGGGCTTAAACTGGGAAACCACCCTGTTTAAAACGAAAGTTTTATTTAGTTACTTTGCACTTGACTGCCAATAGAAGAACATCAAATTGGCACTATAAGTATCTGCCCAAGTCATTTTTATTTTTTATTTTGTTGAAGCTTCCAAGTAAGCATAAAAGATCCTAAAAGATGGAAAATGTGTAATATTTGATTTTGGGAGACGAGTATATTATTGTGACGTTGCATTTTCAGAAGTTTGTAGTATATCAAGGTTGTCTTATCCTGATGCTATGGTTTTTCCCATTTTCTTTAGCTAACTGTAAATAAATACATGGTGGTGCAGGGACACCGAGATTTTGCCCTTTGGCAAAGAAGCACTGTTTACAGCTGCAACCATCCTTTTGACAGAGTCATAGGAGTTGTGAAAACTGTGATATTGTGATTCGAAGAATGTGCTTGAATGCAGTCCATGTACAGAAGATTATATATGCAGAACCTGGAGGTGAGGATGTTTCCATTTTTGTTTAGCTATAAAGGTGTTATGTCGGTAGTAGTGTGTACTGTATAAACAGAAGACTAAAATGATAAATGCTGTAAGTTATTTCGACGATTAACTTTTGCCGCTGCTCTGCCTTTTTTCTAAATTTTCATGTAGATATTTTATTTCAAGGGTTTCCAAATGATCGCAAGGTTTTTTTACAATTTTGAAGCCATTCGGGCATTTTACTGCAGTAGGGGTATCACTTTTCTTCCTTGAACCTGGTCCACATGTCCCTAACATCCTTTCCCTTGCCTTCATGTACCTCCCCTTCCCACTCCTAGCAGTCTCTGCTTACCTTCATATAGACCAGTAGCAGCCTCACACCTCCCACTTCCAGAGATATTTGTGGTTGATATATGGATTTTATCTTATGAAATTTAGGAGTGTTCTGTGCAGCAAAATCATTTCCATCCATTTGTCAGGTTTATTTCATTGCAATGTAGTATTGACAATTCCCACAAATAAAAAATGAAACCAAATATTGGAATTATAATCCCTTTTGTACATCCTTGGGCATGTTTCCAAGTTTACTCCTTTCCTGCTTATGTTTCTAGTACTTTTCTGGTCTGCCAAAACTGCAGCTGAGATAAAATTAACTTAATAGTTTTTTTATTTAGCGAACTACTTCCTTGGAAACTATTTAAGGTACGTTTGGTAAGCAATATTGGATAGTATGTATAGGATATTGAACAAAATTTTAATAATACCATTCGATGATGTCCAATCTACTGTACTAGACATACAATTACTTCATGAAACAAATCCAGGTTTTGGTGATTCAAATTGATAATTCCCATTTATTAATATAGTGACTAATGATTGCACATTACAATACAAATCTGAGCCAGTAGGTAGATGGTTTCATTAACAATTTTCCTTCAAGTANGTGACTAATGATTGCACATTACAATACAAATCTGAGCCAGTAGGTAGATGGTTTCATTAACAATTTTCCTTCAAGTAATGCACGCTAACACCACTTATTAGAGAATAACGAGGTATATAATCTATATTTTCACACTTTAAATTGTAAAGAAGAGCCTAATATTTATAGGGAATATGTAGGGGGCGTCCAAATTCTCCTAGTAGAGTTGTGATGAAGTAGGATACCAAAAAACTGAATCCTAAACGAAAAAGAAGAGAAAAACGCGAAAAATCGAAACAGACAAGGTGGCGCCGCGACGCTCACTGCCCCCGGTTTCACGGGTTACCTTTATTCTTAGCACAGAAAGGGACACCGTGCGACAGTCGTCTGCTCCGCTAGACTACCTTCCCGCATTCTTTTCATTAACAATTTTCCTTCAAGTACTGCACGCTAACACCACTTATTAGAGAATAACGAGGTATATGACAAAATATAAAGTAGTAATCACAATACAAGAACATGAGAAAATTTGGTAAAGAAATGAAGAATTTATTAATATAGAAAAAGAAAATAAATATATTGTGTTTACAATATTTTTTGACTCATATAAAAGTCATATGAAAGTCAAGAATCATATAAACTATATGTAGGATTCAAAAGAATATGTTAAAGTTGGAAAGATGATAAAAAATGAGTCAAAAATAAAGAAAGGAATATTTCTTGAAATAACACTTTTGTTCGAGCAGCATGCAAGTGCGAAATGAGTGGACGGTTGGCACTTTCAATGGAGTCTAGGCAAGGCCGGCCTGGTTCAAGACAACCTTGGCCATTGACTTGGGCCTTAATTATTGAGGGGCCTCAAAAATTAAAAGTCCAAAAATTCAACAAAAAAAATTCAATTTTTTTAGTTGAGTCATTTATTCCATTTAAAAGACATGACTAAATAACATAATGAATTAAATAAGAGGCCCAAAACACTTGGACACTTACATCCTTAATGAGCTTATTATTATTTTTTTAAAAAAAATCTCACATAGTTATTTATTATAAAATGGCTCATTTAATTTTTCAAAAATAATATAAAAAAATTAATTTGAATAGAATATGAATGATACTAAAGAGATCAATATATCAATTTGAATAGAACATGAATGATGTTAAAGAGATCAACATGCTTATAGAAAATTATATTTAAAAGTTTCGTAATCATTTTGTCCCCTAGGACCTCGAATATCTTAGGGCCGACCTTGAGTTCAGGCTCTGAGTTTTGGGTCCAAAATTTGTTTCTTGGAGTCTAGGCGTCCCGTCGCCCAGTTGCTGTTCCAAACTCTAATTGTCAATTTCGATCATTCTTTAACTTATTTTTCAACCAAAACACGTTCTTATGTTGGAATTTGAGTCACATATTCAACAGTTTTACTTTGTTATCAATTTAAATTTTTATTCCACTTTGATCATTATTTGAATTTCATTAGTTTATAAACGATAGGTGGGATGTGAAAGGTGACAATCTGACTTGGCATATACTCAATGGTCTTTCATATTAGACATTTTGTTTGAAAACTAACATTTCGTGATAGAGTAACCACGTTGAAACAAAATACAAAAACTATGGTGAAAAATGTGTTACTAAGCAGAAAATCAGATTTTTTTCCCTCTAAAGACAACCTGTCTACAAGGTGTTTTATAATTCTTTAATCATGGTATTAATAATTGGATCATGCTACAAGTACCGAATTTTTTTACCAAATCTTTTATACCCCACTCACAATAGGAGGTGGGGGCCACGGGTCGGCATTATTTAATATATGTGGGGGCCGCACCTCATGTGAGAGGAGGGACACCATTCGGTAGTCCCTCCTCAGTACAAGAGGATTAATCCTTAATAATTACAGAACGATTGGAAAGGATATTTGAAGAGGAGAGGGACCTTGTCGCAATTTAATCAAAGAATCATGCTACACGTATATCTAACTTAACACCTAGTTTGACATTCACGTGAGTTGGCATAATTCTATACATTGATTTTAAGAACACTTTTTCCCGAACATTGGCCAGATTTTTTTTACATATAGGCGGGTGTAAAATAATGTGTACACAATGCCTAGCTTAATTCTTAATCACTGGTGTACACCTAACTTAATTCTTAATTAAATCCCATATGGTTGGATAATTAATATTGTATCACTATTCAGCCTTCAGAAATAATTCTTGCCTTCCTTATTCTTGCACTAAATGAAATCTTTGGTTGGGTTTTGGTTTGATATTTTCAAACTATTTTCAATTTTATAAAACATTCAAAACATGTTTAATTTGAATTTTTTAAAAATGCATTCTAAAAACAAGATTAAATTTATATTTTTAACGTTTTGAATATTTTGAGTGAAAACATTAAAACACTCAAAACATAAAAAATGAAACTAATCAAAATTCTCCTTACTATAATGGGACTCTCATAAAACTCTCCACACATAATACAATGTGATATACATCTCAATGACAACCAACATGAAAATCCCTATGCAATTAGAATCAATTTCCTTCACCTCTACATTTTTTTGAAACTCATGTTCAACCACACATTTTTCTCATCAAATAATTTTACACGTAAATATAAAAAAAATTCTTATTTTTTAAACATACATTCTCCAAAAAAATCACTATTTCAAAACATATTTTTGTAGTAATTACATCATAGCAGAAATTTTAAAATTCAATTTCAAAAATCAGATATTAAGTTTAGTTATACAAAAATCAGATATTATTTCAAATATTTAATATTATTTATACCACAAAAATTCATCTCAAACCCTAATTAATTCTCTCTCTCTCTCTCTCTCTTTTCTCATAACAGTCGGCATCCCTTTCTCTCTCTACCCGTCGCGACTGCGCTGATTTGCTGCCTTTGTAGTGGTACCGTGTGATCACCGAGCACCGCGCAGCGATGCGATGGCCTCTGCATGCTTGCAGCACCGCTGTATGCAGTGGCAACGTGGACAATAGATTTGGGGATTTTTCGGTGGATGTGGTGTAATGGAGATGGTGGTTGTGTTTTTTGGTACAGGAGGTAATGGCACTACTTTTGCTAGCAGTGAGATTGATGGTGAGATGGTGGTGGCGGCACGGGAGATGGTGGTGGCGGCACGGGTGTTGGTGGTGGCGTTGACACTGGTGGTTGTTTTGTAGTTAAAAATGGTGGTTTGTTGGTGGGGTGGTGGTTTTGAAGTTGAAAATGGTGGTTTTGAAGTTGAGCGTTGGTGGTGGCAACGATGGAGATGACGTCGTGGTGTTGGTGGCGGTTCATGTGGTGGTGGCGTTGGCGGAGACAAGAGGACTTTGCGCTAGTGTGGTAGTGGATCTGACATTGTTGGCAGTGGTGAGGTGGTCGCAAATAATTATGGCGACGATGGTGGTAGTAGTGGTGGCGTTGTGGTGTTGGTGGCGGCGACGGTCGAGTGGGACCAATAGTGTTTGTGACCAATAAATTGAGTAATTTGTGACAAATATATAATATGGACCTAAAAAATGTGATCGTGACTCACAATTTACTAAGTTGTGACTGCGAAATAACTTCTGACCAATTAATTTGACAATTTGCGACCCTTAAATAATATGTGACAGATGAAATTTATAATTTGTGACTGATAAATGAACTGTAACTTATAAACACTTTGTGACTGATAAATAAATTGTGACGTATAAATTTTTGATTTGTGACCGATGAACAAATTGTGACATATGAAATTTTTGAATTGTGGTCGTAAAATAATTTGTGACATATAAAATTTGTGATTTGTGACCACTGAATAATATGTGACTTATTAATTTGATAGATTTGTGATCGACGAATAAATTGTGACGTATAAATTTTTGATTTTTGACCGATAAACAAATTGTGATTTATAAATTTTTTGAATTGAGATCGTAAAATAATTTGTGACATATAAAAATTGTGATTTGTAAACAATTAATAATATGTGACCAATTATATGGAATTTGTGATCAAATTA